ACTTTGTAGATTGGAGAGCTTTTTACGCTGCATCTTGTGATGTATTTTGTTTGTTTTAAATAAAAGATATCAGATGACAAAAAGATGAAAGAAGAAAAAATGAATTTATCTTGTACCAAAAAATATCGTTTTCGCACGATCGCAAATTGGTCGCTCAAATTTTTGTTCATTTTGAAAACAAAAATTACAACTATAAAATAAGCTGTCTTATGTAAATTGTCGAGCTTTTCACGCTGCATCTTTTGATGTATTTTCTTTCTTAATACAACGTATTAAGTAATGGAAACATTTAATCTGTTTCACCCGTTAATGAAGTTTTACACAAAAACAGTTTTTATCGAAATTTCATTATTATGATAGCACAGAAAAATAGAGCTTGGCTTTCTCTATCACCTCATAAAAACAGAAAATTCCATCAAGCCTTCTATACGAAATTGAGATGCGACCGCCACTACTTTTGGGTACCCCTAAGTAGATTTGAGTTACAGGTACGTATTTCCTACCTGTTTTCCCATTACCCCACTGTAGAGGCAATTGGATAAGTACGCTAGGACAATGGGGAAATTGGATAAATCCATGTGTTTTACGCTGGACAATTAAAATTAACTTTTCTCAGTAATTAGATGACATTAATTAGTAATTCTTTCATAGACTGATAGAGAAGATCATCCTCTGCAATCAGTAACAATTTTTCATTAAGATAATTCAATTTAAATAAGTTGTGTTTTCATACAATCATTAGAGAGTTCGATAAAACATTTTTTTCAATTACTCCAAACAGGTTAATTGGATAAATACGTAAAAAACAACAGTATGGAATTTTAAACTTTTCTTAAATAATCTTTTAAGTGATGAATATATCCAGCTAGAAAACTTCCACTACCAATAATACATAGAATTTTTTTCTCTACAATTGTGAAGTGATGCAATATCATTTCATATTACTGATAAAAATTTTTTAAAGAAAAAAGAAAACTATTTTTTTTTCTTTACATAAAAATCTCATTTTTTTAATTTTGCCTTGCTTGGAAAGTGATTTCCCGAACTAATTCATTTTCTGCTGCTAATCATGCGTGATGGATGCCTCATATTTTCAAAGTTCATCAAGTATCTTTTCTTTTATGAATTTTGCTGGTCGCTATAGAACATACATTGAAGGGGAAACAGCGGACTTCAAGACTTCAAAAGATTTCATGAGACTTCGAGACTACATGAGCGTTCGAGAAGCCTTAAAAATAGCATCCAGCTTCTGTATCAAGCAAAACACACTATGTATTAGATAAAGATAACAAAAGCATTTCCTTTCATAACCTTATATAAGGGTATATATGTATAAGCTCAGTAATAAAAGAAAATGCAGCTAAAATATTTATTTCAAAATTAGTAAATTTTCAGCGGATTTATTCTTTGTTCGTCATCATCAGTCTAAATTCAATTCCAATACATCATCAATATAAAACTTATTCATAACCATTATTCATAATTTCAACATTTGTTTCAAGGATAACTACCCATAGTAATTTGAAGTAAAAAGTTTTAGCTGCATTTGATCATGCAAAAAAATGACTTCATAATTTGAATATATTAACTTCGTTAAAGAAATACAATACTTTTGAACTACATGATTTAAGTAAAAATATATTTGACAGTGTTAGATTGAACATTAAATCAGATAATTATGCGATAGCTGATTCAGATTCATCATCAAATTCTGACTCTAATTAAGATGATGAAACAATGGAAAGTAATGAAGTTAATAATGATCTGTTCAAATTGGTTGAAGAAGATCAAGATGTGACAATAATGCAAAGTGTTGATGAAATTAAAATTAATCAAATGAACTTTAATGATATACGTATATTTCATTCGATCAATCCAGCATTGAAAAGCTCTTATTTTTTGGTGCAGATAAAGAACAAGTGTAAATGACAGGGGTGGATATGCTAGCAAAATCGGCCCTATTTGAAATGCGTACCCTTTTTCTCTATTATTCGAATAGACACCGGCGTCATTTTTTATGCATAGATAGCTCTTAACATGCCCTAAAAAATTGTAAAGAGACGAGGGTTCGAAATGCTTGGGCAATACCTTTTCATAAAATCACAATGGCATTTCTATACCCAATACATTGTGGCTTTATGAAAAGGTATTGCCAAAGCATTTCAAACCCTTGTGTCTTTGCAACTTTTTAGGACATACCAAGAGCTATCTTTGCATAAAAAATGGCGCCGGTGTCTATTCGAATAATAGAGAAAAGGGGTACACATTCCAAATATGGCCGATTTTGCTAGCATATCCACCTCCATCCTTTATACATAAGCAAATGATTTGTTGATTATTGACTGATAAAGCTGGCCTTTTATCAGCTGATAGACTTTCACAAGTAACAGAAAGAAACAAAAAAGATTAAAATTCTTCGTAAAATTTATATCGAATTGATAGAACACTTCTTATGGAAATAAATAAGTTTATTAAAAAGAATTGAACTATTAACTATGCCTTTTTTAAATTTCAAACGAGCACGGTCTTTTCCAGGAGATTGACAAAACAATAATAGTTCACATTGCCAAACTAAGATCATGAAAAAGCTTACTAATTCATTTATTTTCTTATAAATTTTCTGTGCACTAAATGTCCATCAAAAATTCCAGAAGACTTCATAAGAGTTCATGAGACATCAAGAGACTTCAAAACCGAAGTCTTAGTTGTTTCTCCCTCGACATACATAGGTGGAAAAGTGACAATGTATTCAGGCAACTTTTGAAAGAAACAAGAAGACGATCGATTTGATCATATATATCACTCAAATTGTTATTGTTACTCTGATTTTGATCGAATTTTGTGTAATGATAAGAAACTATATAAGAAAAACAGCAAAAAAAAGCTATACGGAAGATGATGTAAATAATAATATTGAAAAAATTGTACGAAAGAATGGACACATGAAAACGCTTTTAGTCTAACAAATATTCCTATCGGTATAAGTGGATCTCGAATATCTCGAAAATCAAATCAATAAGTTGGCCGTTACACAACTTTGAAAACAACAGAAGAAAAAATATTTAGTTGATTTAATTATCATTTTACAAGATTATGGAGAATTATAAACATGTGACGATGTATTATAATATGTAACTGAATTGGTTGATATAATGAATTTAAAGTCTCGATCTAAAAATGGTGAACCCACATGTGATTGGTATTACAGTTTAGTACGTAGGTGGAAGGACAGGGTGTGGTTGTGGGTGAAAAGAAACACTCACACCCTTTTATCGAAACTTGATTTATTTAATAATCCTCAACAATTGTTCAATTGTGACGAGAATGATTTTCGAGATGATTCAGGAAAAAGAATGTTGTAGTTGGTCGAGATACTAAATATGCAAATAAGTGAGTAAATAATCATTGTATTTAACTATTGTCTTCATTGCTCGAATCATTGTTTTAGTCTATTTTAGTTCCATTCGAAATCGGAATGTCGAGGTAAGAGGTCGTCAAATACTAAATTTAATCATTATTTTATGCTATTTTAGATTCATTTGAAATGAAAATAGCAAGGTAAGACCTGTTGAAGTAAGAATATTAATCATTGTTCTATTTCATTTTAGACTCATCTGATATCAAAATACAAAGGTAAGAAGTCTTGAGATAATAAAACAACGCTTTATTTTATTTTGTTTAGGCTTATGTTAAAATGGGATTTACTAACCGAAATTCTTTAAGGAGGTTTCAGAGCAATGATTTTGAAAACTACGAAAAGCTTTCGGATAATCGGAAACGCGTATCGATCTCATAATAAGATGGTATTTTTACATGAATCCTTCAAATCTGATACCTTATCAGTGCGACTGAACCATTTTTTGATACAAATTAAAACTGCTTTTTTGAAGTTTTCACAGAACCCGCTTTTCAGTCAGAACGATTTTTAAGGATGGGTGTGGTGTGGGTGTGCGTGAGGGTGTAGGTGTCGATTTGGATTTACAAAACAGCTACAGTCATGACAACACCCACACCCACAACCACCCACACCCATACCCACAGCCATACCCACACACCTACCCACACCCACAGCCATACCCACACACCTACCCACACCCACACCCTCACCCACACCCTACACCCTTTATGACGGTCGATTCAAATAAAACTCGTCAGAAAAATCTGAAATATATGATTCGATGCAGTTTCAGTTCTTCTTTTGAACGGTGAAAATCGCAGATCTCTATCTTATACTTTTCAAAAGTTATTCCGAAAATACTCACCCTTCTTTTATTTTGAAATAATTGGACATTAATGCTAATTTATCTGCTCCACTAATAAAAAATAAATGAAAAAATAGAAGTAAAATGTGCTCTAACGCATAATGTTATTCATTGATCCTTGAAATATCGAGAAACATGTCTGCTTCCTCGAAGAACCTTTATGTCTTAAGAGAACATGAGAGGTTTTACTGTATTCTTTTATTGAATTCGGGTGCATTCAAAAGCGATGATCACATAGTAGATCAGTAATTTGTTTGTATCAAGATTTTCATTATTTTCTAATATGATGATGAATTACAAATCAAATATAAAAACAAAGAAGGAGAGCATCGAATCAAAGATAAAACAGTGAATTGTGTGATTTTACCAAATAATTCTTAAGTCAGGTTTGTGTCTCAAGAAAAGGCGATGTCAGCGTAAGCATCACCAAGATCTTCTGGTTTTGTAACATCTACAAACTTACCTTTCATTGTTGTGTTCACTTTTTCAAGAAGTTCCATGTCATACTCGCCGAGACCCATCGTCCAAAAATTAACAATCATCGATCTATAAACGGTAGATAAGTGCTCTAGCTCAGCCGTTGGATATTTTTTAGGCTTCCCATCTGTCATAAAGATGATCGTTTGTCGGAAATTTTCTTGCATTGGCTCTGTCACAATTTTGTCCAGTGTTTCAATCACCATTTGAAATGCCAGCGAAAAGTTCGTATTTCTTCCACAAGTTGATATCGGTGTATTGATTTCCTCTATATTAATTTCATTCAATTTGACCCGATCATAAAGTCGTATCGCTCGGCTACCGAAAACAATTATAGTCATTCGATCGGTTGAATGTACTTCTTGTATTCGAATATGAATAAATTTTTGAACAGCTTTGAGCAAATATTCCCATGGACTAAGATTTGTTTGTTCATTCGAATTAATTATTGTACTGATCGGCTGACTTGCTGAAAATATCCTGCGCACCGAATCCCATACTCCATTAGAATTCATCGAACTCGAATGATCAATGACAAGAATAAAGTGATTTATTATTGATGGACTATTTTGCTCGACAAATTTCATTCCGTTGCCAAAGTGGATGCATAGATGTTGACCAATTTTTTTCCAAATATAAACATAACGAGCTCCATGAATGTCTACAGTTTTTGAATCACCAAAATCCCAATCAGTAAGACTGTTTTTGAATTCTTTCCATCTTTGTCGTATTCCTTGGCGAGTTATAATTGGAGAATCGTCTTTAATGCTCTCACACCGTTCTATCGATGCTTCGTGGGTCAGTTCATATTTTATACCAGCCATACCTCGCATTTGATGACCAAACTGGCAACGATGCCGATTTTCTCCTTGGCCCGCGTGAGAAGTATTGTCCAAATGATGATCCACATCACATAAACGCCTACAACAAGGACACAGGGCTTTACAACCATGCAATCGAATCAGCCATTGTTCTCGAATGCTTTTGCAAGACGTTTCAACCAGTTCATTCATTTGATTACGGAATGCCGTTTCAGTTCGTGGTCCATAACTAGTCACCGTTCTGAGAAAAAGACTAAGGTAGCTGATATTAAACGTTTCAAACGTACTCCTTATTGAACGAAACACGTCTTTCAATGGTTCGTTCAGATTTGGAAAATGACCAGCGACTTCTTGCCACTTAGTATTCACCGTATAGGTCGCACCAGTCTTCGTAGTTATACAGGTTGAACTAGGTTCTCCTATGAAATATTGATAAAGGAGTGTAGCCATACACATTTTCTTCTCGGATGAATCATGATTACCATCGTTACTCGATAACTCAAATAGATCGTCGAAAAAAGTGAGAACATGAGCACCTTTCAGTTTCAGGACTTCATTGACTCTTTCGATCACTTGAAAAAATTCCACTAATATCTTCAAGTGTTCATTCATACTCTTGTTGAGTCTTAGATGAATGTTCGTATCGATTTCTGTCCATAACTGATGAAATCGTTCAATAATCATATCTAACGGATGTAGAATATAGCGCATAAGCCATTCATCGGACGCGTCGTGTACTTCATTATCGAGTTGTTTGATAATAGAAGATCGATTTAATTTTGCGGATTCTCTTTCTAGTTGTTTGCGAATAGTTTTGTTGGCTTCTGCATCAAATGACTGACGCAAAGCTTCTGTAATTTCGTTCACAAGATTAGTGGCGATATTTTCATCACAGTTCTCTTGAGGTATCACCATGCGAACAAAACGATCTTGTAATTGAATCTTCTTTTCATGAATCGACCGAAGCATTTCATTAAAACGAGTCTTATGCTGATTAAAGTAAAATAAAGCGACCGATATTACGGCACATGTATGTAAGGCACCTTGAAAAATCTTGGATATACCAAAATTGAAGACTTTAAAGTCTAAATTTATATCTTGTATTAATTTGTCTACTACTTCCAAGACTTCTTGTAAAAGACTAATTCCTGTTGACGGTTCATCACTACTTTTTGATATCAAAATTGTTGTTATGTCTTCAATTAATTTATCAAAGCAATAAGATACTCGAAAAATCGAGACCCATTTGCTACTAATTTCTTGAGAAATGGCTTGGCTTCTGTTTCCCTTCGATGAGCCTGTTTTCCATATAAAATGTCTATTTTGATCGTCCAAAAATTCTTTTCTCAATTTAACAAGGTCAAGAAAGTTGTACGAATTTTCAAGTTTGTGCGGATCGATGATATTTGACGTCTCTGCTGCATATGGTGCGAAAGGACATATTTTGGCGGCTTTGCATTTGTATTCAGCAATTATTTTTGCTAGACTCTGATCCATGGAAACCGCTTGATTCGCAGTATGCATAGACTTGGGAAAGGATACATAACTGAACACATTATCTAGTGAATGAAAAGCGTCTTTATCGAGTACGTCGTAAAGTCGACAAACCAGCTCAATCGACTGTTTCCATATGGTTTCCGGATCCAAATCTTGAATCCGAGAAACTCGTTCTTCCCACAGTGTTTCAAACTCTTTGATGGTAGTTTCTTTATCCATGGAATGATTTCTACCGATTTTATTTTGTGCTAGCTCTTGCAGTTCCTTTTCCAAATCCTTTATTATTTTCTGCCGTTTGTTGCGTTCAGCAGCCATGATTGCTGAAACTTCCCAAGAGCGAAATAAACTTGCCACCTGTGTTTGCAGGAAATGCCTGGATCGTACTCGAAGATTCTCGCTTACTGCATGCTTTCTGATGTACTCGTCCAGGCAGGATTGAAGAGTCTTCAACTTGCGATTTTGTTCGATTTGAAATGATTCTTTTATACGATCAATACTATTGTCTCTGTCTCCCTCAATAAGCTGACGGACGAATGTGGGTGATAAATGTTTTTCAAAATCTGAGCTAATGTTTTCTCTTAGTTTCTCGTACTGCTGGCGCTCGAAGATATCTTTGAAAAAAGTCAAATCTGGATATGATTTAAGAGTTTGAAATACTCTTTGAGCAAATTCAATCCAATTTGTCGGTACAGAGAAAAGATCGCCTGTACCATTAACAATCTCTGATGAAGAATGGATAAAAAGTTTACAAAGATTTTGAACACTGGTGACGAATTTGATGTCAGTTGACAATGCAGCACAATCACCATTTGGATCCAAGAATGGTTTTCGATTGAATGCTGTTGATAAAACATGAAAATTGTTCGGCCCGAGATCGATTAAATTATCCAGACCGTGGTTTATTAAGTCTGTTCTAATAATTTTCACTTGTTTTTCGTAATTTTCTTTGTTGGGATCAGCGTTTTGATTACTTATAAAATGTACTGCCGGTTTGGTAACACGAGTTTCACCAATATAGTTCAGTGATTGTGTGCACAATAAAAGCATTCTTTTAAGTGCTTCATTGATTTCACCGGCAACATTGACAATAACTAGATGCGATACTGCCAAGCAAAAGAGAATCAAACGTTTATCGTACTGTTCATCGTCTTTGTCAATAGACAAGAGTCCTTCCGTATCAATCATAAGAATATAATCGTAATCGACTGGAACAAGATTATGCATGGTTGCTTTAGATTTTATATTAACCAGCGTTCCATAAATACCTGCAATATCAGAATCCAAGTAGAATGTGCAAGTGATGTGTGATTCAAAATGACTAACAAATTCAGAGACCAAGCTTAGTCCCCACCCGGACAATCTCAGGAGAGCTCTGGCAAATGCTTTTATCACTTCGAGAGCGATATGGCAATCCACAAGAAAATCATTTGTACAGAATTTTAAAATTCCAGATATCTCGAAAGTACCAATAATCAATTTTTGAAATACCAAACTGTAAAAGTTCTGAACTTGGTTCTTTCTCAAATCTCAACATTTATGAGTATTACAGGGATTTCGACTAGATATACCGAATAAAATACCCGCAGTGAAACAACAATTGTGTTTGGCGAAAGAATAGTTTCTAAAGAATTGTACCCAATTTCGGTTATTTGGCATTGATTTTTTGATCCCAAAACGGATAGGTTTTTCTAAACATAAGAGTCTATGTCAGCATGCGTACATATTTGATGAAAGACAAGAAAACTCGATCATCTTTGAGCCTGATAGAGCATTGTTATGAATTGAAATTGATTAAAGAATCATTTAGTAACAACAGTTTTGTGAAACACAATGTCAAGTGTGTGTCGAAGTATGTAGCGAGAAAGTTAAGAAAAAACATTATAAAAGTAAAAATGAAACTGTTTCAACTTTACCTTTCGTACATCTTCCGTGGCGTACTTCAAACAATGTACCAAATAAGAAATTTAGTAATGTACTTTTACCACTATTTTGTGGTCCAATTATGCTAATAATGAAAATTTTCTTATTAACAAAGACACCGAACATCTTTTTCAAGAATTCAGCTTGCATTTCGAAATTGTCACCATCGACTATCTCGAAAGGATTTCCTTCGTTGATATAATCGTAGTAGGCGTCGATAAACACTTGTCGCTCAGACTCCGATAAATAAGTAGAACCGATGATGGCATTTCGCCAATGAATTTCGAGCGAAAGTGGCCGACAAATAGATGTAGTCGCACTAACTTCCTTTTTCTTATCTCGATCACGTCTTAACTCAGCGGATAGAAGATTTAGCTTGTTCAATCTATCTTTCTTGTGAAGTAACTGCATAAAAAGTTGGAATGCTGGACCATTTCTACTGTGACCAACCTGTTGTTCCTTATCGAATTCTTCAGTAGCTTCGAACAATGCGCTTTGAAGATCGTTAAGTTTCTTTTCTTCAAAATTTGCTTGGTAAGGATCCATTTTGGCTACTTCAAACCTTATTTTACACATACGGGTAAATAACGCATACAACGGATAATCATCGTCCTTTCCATCGATTAAAATCGCTCGGATAGTTTCGAGAAAAGTTTTGTCTTGTTGAACATAATTACGTTGAGCAGTGTCCATGAGTTGTTCCAGCTGTCCTTGAACGTATTGTTCATCTTGACATTTTAGTTTGCCGACCTCGCTGAAAATTTTTTCGCGAACTTGATCAATTTTTTCTTTATTCTCATCTGTACTTTTGTCTGCCACATTCGGCAAAGTGTAAGTCTCGCACGACGGAAAAACGGAACGAAGATCTTGTATAGTTTCTTCTATTTCCATGTCGTTCTCTTCGTCTAGATCGCGAATGAGCAACAGAATGTAGCTTTCATGAGGAAGAAATCGCAAAAGATCAACAACGTCTGACTTCTTTGAGCAGAAGTACGTTGATTCAACGTGAACGAGAAAACCGTTGAATAATTTCGAGATACACTGAATAATTTCATTCGAGATTTCGCCATGCACATCCGCAACATTGACTGACCGTCGTTGAACAAAATGGTAGCCAAAATCAACATCGATCGTCCCACGAAAATACGTATCCTTCGTAGATTGTTCGAAGTTCGTTTCAAAAAGTGCATTAACTAGAGGAGTTTTGCCCTTGCAACCTCCCAAGCCGAACGACAGCAAAACAGGTCGATTACAATCCCATACATGAGTAATACTACTCATAAAGCGATGTTTTTTGTTTGTGTTATCAATAGGTGGTTGTATCATCGGTATTGGATTGCGTTTACTGAGAAGAGATGTCAAACGTTGACAAAGAAATCGATCGGAGTTCATCATCATTTTGTCGACTAGCAAACGCTGACTTATTCGAGGAATATCACGCTCTTTGGCAAGTGAACTCTTGAGATGTTTGCAGAAGTCGACAAGATTCTGCTCACGTTTCAGCAAATACATCATTGGTTGAAAGGTATTCAAAAGAAATGAATTGAAGTCAGGATTGATATCCGTTTTAAAATTCTTCGCAATTTCATTAGCTATATCTTTGACTGTTTTGTCAGTGTGCTGAAGTTCCCCAGCATTGGCAAGATCTCTCAAGGAGAACTGGGAAATATGGGAACTATCGCCTTGCTCGTCATAATCTTTGTGTGTTGATGATATGGCTTCACTGTCCCCTAGCGAATGAAAAAGCAAATTTTTTCGTTTCCTGAATAACAAAATAGAATATGCAGTTAGCCTAATGTTTTTCCAAGTTAGTCGCTCAATATCATTTGTTTTCATGAACTGCTTCTTGTCGTGTTCGTACAATTTAATATCATTGCTATATTCATTAGTCACCTTGTCTATTTTTTTCCTGACATGGATTTTAAATTGTAAGAAGTGCGACAGACCTACCAGCTCAAGTTCTAGAAACCGATGCAAGTCGACTCCTTATTTGTGGCTTCTTTCAAAAATTGAATTTCACGAATGTTGTTCAATCATCCCAGTAGTGTCAAACTTGAAAGTTGAATTCAAGTATTCAACTATCACTTCAACTATTCAACTATTCATTACAAGTACTCAACTTTTCAAGTATTCAAGTATCCGAGGTGACGCTGTTTGATCACTCTTTGTGCTCTCGCCCTCGCGAAGGGTCGCTCCCACTGGTCACCATTTTCGCCCTCACCCTCATTGAAATGAATACTTGAATACTTGAATACTTGAATTCAACGTTCAAGTTTGATACATATGCATAGTAGTACTGGTTGATCGTGTGTCATGTTCAGTGACAACAGACATTTGTTTCAATCTCCCACGAAATCAAATTTCGAAAAATAAATTTTCAGCTTTTGCGAAACATTTGTCACCACTAATGTCGGAAATCTAGTTGTTGGTATTGTTCAATTCTATGTTAATATTTCTTGTTCTCAAAGTTGCATGTATTGATAGTATCGATGTCACTTTCCCTGCGCATTCAATCTTATAATATCTGACGTTTTGTACTGACTAGACAAATGTAGAAAATGATTTGGAAAATGAATTAATAAATTCACTTGAAGCTTTTATATCAGCCACCTATATGGTAACGAAAAGTCAATCGTGAGTTTTTTTCCACCTTATTTGACCTTTTATAGTGCATTCCTTGTAAACAACTAACCTGAGTTGGAATTCGTACATGGTACATTGATCAATAGTGGTGTTTTGACATTCGTTCGAATTTCGTGATAGATCTGGATCGCAGATATGAGTTCGTTAGAATCAACTATGACAGCTCTAACCTAAACAGACGGAGAAATATAATCGAACAGAAAAAAAAGCTGCTTCACCTTTTGAAACTTTGATGCCCATTTCCGATTTGTTTCTAGATTCATGCAAAATACATAGATTGCTAAGATGTGCGGCAGTTCATGAATTTCAGGAACCAATTCTCTACCGAGTTGTCCACTGACAATGAGAACAACTTGGTTTTCTTTAGATAAAGACTTAATGTGATTGTAACACATAGGAACATTGTCAAATGTCTCAATATGGGTTGTGGCAGTAGTACGTAGTACTTGCTTTGCATTTGAAATTCCCTCACTAGTTTTGACAGACTGATCGAGCCAAATAAGAATGAAATTAGCGGATGAAGCGTTCGATGTCATATTCTTAGATATTGTAACTTTCGAAACGAATTTGTGAGTAAACCGAGCCTTTTTCAATGTGAAGTCACTGGATTGTGTGATTGCATGCTGCTTTTGAATGTCGTTTTATCATATAACGTTTCTCACTTCTTATCATATACACTGCTTATCATTTCAAACGTGCCTAGTTGTGTCACTAAATCAGCATGATGAAAAACATTCTAAACACGCTCTCTCTCATCCTTTTCCCATCCTTTTCTTTCCATTTCTCGAAACTTCACAAAAATATAAAGGAAGCAACATCCGACACCCACACCCACCCAATCTTCGACAACAGCTCTACTACATTATCGAGGTCCTAGATGAGAAAAGATATTGTTAATTATTTCAAAGAAAAATATCTTCTATTTACTTTAAATGATGCACGTAATTCTTCTTCATCATATTCTGTTTCTGTATCACATTCTCCTTCACCATCATGTTTACCTTCTAAAAAAAGACAATTTTAGAAGAAAAAAAAACTTAATCAAAATAAAAAAAAATATTCTTACCAGTTGCATCAAGTCGTCCATATTGAGGGTGTGGGTGTGTGGATGTGAGGCGCTGTCATTGTCATCCACACCCACCCACACTCACACCCGAACCCACACCCTTGACAAAAGCTTGGCTTTATTCCTAATGGATACCCATTGATTATTAAACTTTAATCTTGATTATTGTAATCAAGAGAGAGATGACATAAAACATAGTTTTTAATTTATACTGACTACTTCATTAGAAGATAAATGAAAGCTTAGTTAAATCATTCATTTTTTTAAGTAAAATAAAAGGAAAAATATATCTTCTTGAGAAACTTTTTTTTAATTTTGTTTTTGTCTTTTATTTTACGTTCGACTGAATTTCAGACGAGTAGGATACAGCTGATCGAGTCGACGATGGCAGAAATATTTAAGAACATTGGAATCGATTGATGCGTAAATGAAATTGACTCTTGAAGCGAGACATATTTTTTTCGATTTAGTTAAACATGTAAATATTTTTCAACGCGATCTTTGTCTTCTGTTTGAACAATTGAAACAAGTTGTTTATTTTAATATTTATGGTAAAATTTCTCGTGAAAAAGTAGAACCTTATCGTTTAATGGTT